TGTAATCATCAGAGCTGGTTAGTCAGGCATTCCAGATAGTGGTTCTTTTCAGAACCTTTTTTAAAGGGTTGGTTAACTACCTCAGTAGCAGAGGATTGAACTATACCCTGTCTGTACTGTACATAGAAAATCTTTGTAGATAAAAGCAAGGCTTGTTTAATATGATATGAGGGTAAGATTATAATATACCAAATGTAACATTCTTAGTTGCCTTTAGTTCCAGAGGCTTTGTAAGACTTCCTCATGACCATCATAACAGGCCTTGCTTTTGTCGTATTTTGTGGCTGAAAAAGCAGCCTTGCTTCTTCAGATATTGTAGTTATTTGGATGTATAATAGTTTAGCAAGATGTTACTTTTGTAAGACATCAGATGTTCAAAAAAGTGCATCAGCAACTTGTACTAAATACTGCAGTGTCCCTTTATAAAAGGTCAGACTAAAACTGACAACTGTACAGTGAAGCCTGACATTTGGATATTTTGAAGTTTTTTCATAAATCATAGAATAGTATATGGCTGTAGTTTAGCTTTTTAGGTAAAAGGTATGTTTTCATTAGTGCATTTCTTACTGCTGATCACTGTAAAAACACGTGGATCAGCTTTCCATTTCTCTTATGCAGATCATGATAACCTGTAGAGTAGAGTAGAGTACAATCATTTGTGCTACGTTTTTAATTTTCTGAAGCACCTTGATGACAGTGAGTGTTCAGTGGTGAAGCATCCTCTATTGAACCACCCTTAAAAAAAAAAAAAAGAAAACAAAAAAACCACAAAAAAATAAAAAGAAAAAAAAACAACTTTGCCAAGTCCAACTTCATATAGGTAAAAGATAGATAAAATTATGACCTACGTTGGACTTGGCGTAAAGAGCTTCCCTTAACCCCCTGCCCAAAGGGATACTGCAGTTATACTACATACCCATAGGCACCACAATGAAAATTGAAGCTTATACCTAATTAAGGTTTTATACACACCAGTTTCCCCCAGTAAATGCAAATTTTAACAAAATTAGACATGTCATATGTTGAAAATGCTCATGGCAAACAATCATTTTGCATTCCTGCAAATAAAATTGTTTTATACTGTAAGCTGGAGGCGAGTGTAACTTATTTTTGTAATAAAGTTTTTATTTTTTTTATGTGTCATTAATATAAATGTGTGTTAGTACAGAGATCTTCTGGTTACAAACTTAGAATCGCACACATTTCAGTATGTTTACTTGTATTTACATAATTTTTAGAATAGTGGTTGCCAATAGCCTGTATGTTTCACATTAATTTTTTTTTTTGTTATCTTAATAAACCATTTTAGTATGTTGTATGTCAATTACTGGGATAGCTGGGACATGAAGTGTAATTTAAAATTGTCAAGTATTCATTGGAATATGTAAATGTGCCTTGCCAGTTTTGAACTTAAAGACAAAGTAAGTGAATGATGGTGAAATGAGTAGTCAATGCATAAGAGACATTTGCTACTACAGTTTCATATACTGCCCTTGCTAAAGAAGAGTAACCTTCTCCTCAGATTTGAGCATAAAAGTATGCAGTTTGCATTAGCTTCTGAATTTTCAAATCTAGTGATAGAACATTAGGCTTATGGAAAGTGGGTTTGCTAATTGTAGCCTTAAATATAATTTTGAATTTCAATGTAATCCTTGGTGCTGGCGTTCCCAGTGCCAAGGAGTTTAAATGCTCCCTTCAAAGAGGTTGCCATGCCTACTGGCACTTTTACTGTCATATGGTTTTATAAGGAACACTGTCAAGGTGTGGAAAGCAATTCTGAACTTGCTATTAAAAGGAAACACTGGGGGCTGTAGACGAGGGGACATCCTCAGGTTTCTTAATGTTAAAATCTCCCCATTGCTGGAAAACTCAACAACGCTTGTGGGATCACAAGTGGTAGCGACAGTTCTTAGTTTGGAACTGTGCTGGGGGGGGGTAATATATTTATGGAATTGTAACTGTTGATGGAAATGAATAAAAACGTTGTTATTAAGGCGCTATGTGCGTTGAAATTGAGGATGTTATCCTCAATTTCAGCTCTGATAAAAACATGGGGAACTATTGCGAAAACTGCAGAATTGACAGGAAAGTGTTTTCAGTCGAATGCAAGCAATGGTGAGCGAGCAAAATATCAAGATCTTGACAGTGTTCCCTCTAAGTATGAACTCAAGCCATTATAACTTTTAAAATTAAATATGATTTGCACTGTTCTGATATTGGTGCAGTTTTTTAGCAAAATATTAAGAAAACTAAATTGCATGTGGTGATTAATACGGTAAAAAATGATGTTGTTTTCCAACCTTAAAGTTCAGTTGTGTGAGGGGGAAAAAAAAAAAAGTACTTCATTATTAAGCATGGAGATATTGGTGAGAGTGGGCAAGTGCATATAGTAGCAACTCTGGATTAGTTGCACTGGGTGTTGGTAAGCGTGAAGTGTTCACCAGTGAGTGCACATCTTTGGTGCCGGTCAGCAGTGTAACGCACGGCTCATTTTGGTGCGTTCAAGGCAAGTGTTGACCTCATGTGATGCCTCGGATTATTCTGGTAGGAGGCTTTCTGTGCTGCAGCGCCCGTGAAGGTTTGAGCATAAGGTAGAGTAGTTCCACACTGATTTGGAGTGCTTTCCGAAATTTGCAGCCTAGTTGAAGTTAGTTAGAAATTGGGAACTCCTGCTCGACACTTCTTGTTTATAAACAATACGCTTTTTAAATTCTACTTCTAACTTTTTTTTGTCACTTGAAGAGGTTTCATTTAGGGCACGCAACTGCAGGGGTTTTTTTGTTGTTGTTTTTTGAAGAGGAAAATTCTTAGAATGCAAAACTTGGGTTTGTTTGTACTGTTCAGAGGAAGGCTGTTATTGCAGATACATCTCTTAGGTAAATACTGTCTTTAAAAGTTTAGGGAATATTAACTCTGTTGTTGGTAGGATTGTGGGGATATGACAGTCTGATAAAAGTTCAGCCTCCTCTGAAGATAAGCTTGCTCACTTAATGTTTCATTGCATAAATGCTGCATGTAGGTGCAACTTCTTTTTTGTGCCTTTGATAATTCTGCAGAGGCATTTGCTCAGCCTGATAGTTTTGTTGGTGCTTTCCCACGTCAGAGGGGAGACTTTACATCCACATTGTCTTCATTTTCTACTAACATTTTCTGTAAACTGTGTGTTCAGGCTGCTAACATTCCACAAAATTCTGACCGTTTTGTTCTTTGCATTGGTGAAAGCTTAATAGAAAACGTTAATAGTTTAAAATGGAGGAGAAAGATTTGGAAGTAGGCTATCGGGCAATACTTTCTAGAGTCATAGAATCATTGAATGGCCTGGGTTGAAAAGAACCACAGATATCATCTAGTTTCAACCCCCCACTTTGTGCAGGTCGCCAACCACCGGACCAGGCTGCCCAGAGCCACATCCAGCCTTGTTAGTGTAGTGCTCAGAGAACTGAAATCCATAAAGCTGGAGGTTGAGTTTGTCTTCCTAGCACAAAGCTGATGAATCCCGATTTCCTACGATGGACTTGACGCTCAGTGTAGGGCTCAGTGTAGGCAGGATGTTGTGCTGAATTAACTGCCAGCACTAGTGCATGACACCCCCAGCCTGGAAATAAGTATTTGTGCTGTTTGTGTAGAGGAAACACCAGATGTACGTTCTACTTGTTCTGTCTGTCAGATTTAAAGAAACAAACAACCCAACATGTAAGGAAGGGATGTTTAGCTGAAGATACTTTGACCCTTAGTATGAATGTTGAGGGAAGGAGGAGTAAATTGTTACTTTACAGAAGTATAGTGCAAACAAGCATAAAGCTTCCTAAAAATTGATGTTAAACTTTGAGAAGCTGATTCTCATGCAGGAATCTGATCGGTCAGCGCTTCCAAGTGTTTAATTATATTATAAGACACACAGGAGGAAAGTATGACTTTTTCAGTCCTGTGTTGCCTTGATTATTGTGATAGCTATGTTGAAAAGTACAAGGACTAGCTTGTTGGATTACTTGGGATTTGGAGAGGAGGGTGATTGTCTCATGTAATTATGTCTTTTTCTTGCCAAGATGTAACTGGGTAGATTTTTTTAATGATTATTTTTTATTTTAATTTTGCAAAGTTAATTCAAAATGGTCAGCTCTCAGGTTGTTGCACAGCTGAGCCTGTCTGGGAGCACTGGGTTATATTTGTTATTTTGAAGTTATCTTCATGAAAGCTTGTTTAGACCGTTGAGCTTCAGTGTACATAGATGAATCTTGAATCATCTGTGACAGTCAGAAACCACAGCCAGGTAGGGAGGTAACTGGTTCTAAATTTTCAGTCTGAGAGAGGAATTCAATTCCTCAAATGATATGTTCTGGTTCAGAGGGTTCTTTAGTTCCTGAATGTTCATTATACTGTCTGCTCCAAAGCCAACACTTATTTTCCTGACAGTCATTTAGGTAAAGGCAGCTGTGTCAGAAATCTGGATTCCTTCTACTCTGAGACTGATGCATGTGTCTGATGAATGGAGATAGCTTGCTATCTCTATTTGTGCAGTTAGCATGGCAAAGAGCTTTGCTTGGTTTGGCCACTGATGTGGAAGAAAAGGCACAGAATCTTATTACTTGTGCTAAGGAAGCTACGAAGGGCATTCATGGTATTGCTACCTACCCAGTAGGATAGCATAAGATGTTCAACTGCAGACGTGACAACGGTGAGTAAATACAGACATTCCACTACTTAAATTAATTTCAGTACCTAAACTCCAACTTCTATAGGAAATTGACTCCTCATCTGCAGGGAGTGGGAAGGTTATATGGGGTTTGGTTTGGAAATTTTTGTTTATTGCAGTGGTAATTGAATGTTGAGTGTAAGCTGATGTTAACTATTTTCAACCGAAAAATCACCAAAAATGCTTCTGGTATATCAAGTATGTGAGGTTTTTTTTTGTTGTTGTTGTTGTTGTTTTATTTAAAAGCATAGCAATCTTAGCAGTTTGAAGGGATTTTTCCATGAACCCAGGTACTAAAAGAGCCAGGAACTGAATGTGTCAAGTACTGAATTGCTGGCTCTATGTGTAGCATTTCCTGTTGTTCTTTATTTTTTTCCCCAGTTTTCTCCAGAGAGATGAAGAAAGCACCTGTGACCAGCATTGGATATTTAAAACCTCTTTTACTCAGCGTAGCTAATTTGGAATATGAAAGCTTCCCCTGAGTTCAGCAAAGGCAGCTTAACTTCATAGATTCCTCATTAGTAGTAGTTTCAGCAGAGGCACATACACGAAGTTGACTTCAGGACAGTTTCGCTAGACTAATTTCATTCACATTAACATATTTCTTTGAAAGTGTGGGTGGTTTACGCTTGCTTTTGAATTAAGATCTTTTCTGAAGAAAACCACAGCAAGGTACTTTTCTAAAAAGCTGTCAGAATCTGTAAGAAGTATGTTGCAGATTTCATGCTAACGTAAGACTTGAATGAATATAAAGGGAGAAAAAAAACTGTCATAACTTGTCTCACTGTGAGCTGTAGATGGATATAAGCCTTGACAGTGAGTACAATGGAAGCTGGTTTCAGAGTCCTAGTAGAAATTTTCTGTGAGAACGATCCTTCAGTTAAAATTAGGAAGGGTCTGGAAGGTCATAAATCTATCAGATTTGAAGTATTCTGTTACGGAGTTGCAACTTGGTTTTGCTTATCTTACAATGGGAATGGTGTAAAAAATGATAATCTAATCTGATAAGTACCAAGTTAGGTTTACTGATGTCCTGAGCCATTGGGATTGTCATGTTTCTGTACTGACAAAAAATCTTAATATTTTGTGTGGTGTTAGCTGGTCAGTATGTCTCAGACTAAGTAGTTTCTGCTTTTTGAGGTACTTGGTCTTTTTTAAGGTTATGAGTAGGGATTTCTAATGGGAAGTACTGAGGCTTGTTTTTCTGTAATGCCAAGGGCTAAACTTTTACAGTTTATTACCCTCAGTATAACATTTGGAAGAGAATTGCTTTCAGTGGATAATAAAACACGAGGAGTACACGGATGAATTGTGAAGAAGCTTTGCTGATGTTCAGCATTTCAGAAGTGAAGTTTCCTGGTTTGTAAAGGCACTCTGAGGTTTGCTGGGGCGTACACACCACTCAGGTACAAATTGCAGTGGAGTGAATCAGATCGCTTGCATCCCAGCAAGGTTGTGCAGATTGCCCTCAATAACGGCTCAGCCTAAAGTGTCTGTTTTGGTACAGTTACCCTGGAGTGCTTATGGCTTATGTCATTTGTTGTGGAGTTGGTCAAGTACAGCTGCAGGTCGATGATCATCCATTTATATTTTGTAGTCTTAGAAAAACTATAGTTATTAGGAGTAACATTTTTTAAAGCATCTTTTAAATTTCCATGCCCCTTTCAAGACAACCTTTCTCCCCCCCCCTCACCCTCCTTGATGCAGTGACTGACAATAAGGGAGGCTGCTCTCAGAGGAGTACCAAGTATTTGTTTGGAATTTAGAGGGTTGACCTAGGAGTGGTAGAACTGCTTATATTCATTCCTTCAGAAAGCTCTCAGTAAACCATTCTTGTCTGCTCCCTGAGAAGATTTCAGGTTGTGTGACAGTGGGAGAAAGAAATCCTCAGTTTGTGGGCAGAATAATATAATCACATGTGCCTTAACTAAGCTACTAGAAAGTATGTAGTTTAGGGTTAAAGGCAAAATAGCCAAGTAAATAACCTGGCAAACCACAGAGTTAAACAACTTTATTTGGCTGTTTTACAGCTTTGTGGAATCTTTCTTGCTCTTAATCAGTCTGTCCTTTTCCTGTGAAAGGTAGATATACTCTAAACAAGGCTTCATCTAGCAGGCACAGCAAGATGTGAAGGGAATGTCAGGTGGTGGAGCTTGCCCAGGTTCAAACATCAGTGCAAGAGCAGATGCAGGTTCCTTGGACTTCAATGTGGAAAGGTAAGGAGATTCTGTTCTGGCTAGTATGGCTGTCAGGGCCTCTTCATCTTGGTAGGAATTTTAGAAGAACGGCGCGTAGAGAGTAGGAGCACAAGAGAGCTAGGGAAGTCTGAAGTACCCCTGTAAGAAAAGATGTTTCAAACATAGTGAAACAGCAAAACTAAATGAATAAATACTGTTAGTGTGCATAACACTATTTCAAATGTCCTGCTCTGAGAGGTGAGTGTGATACCCTGCAGCTGATAATTGCAAACCTACTGTTTTGAAGTGATGGACTAATAGCCACAAAAAAGCAAGAGGCAGTCCTGAATATCTGCTGTGCCTGTTCTAGTGCCTGACCTGTTCTTCAGTACAGATGAAGAGTTAGTCCATTCTTTTTACAGTTATTAAATGAATATGCTTCTCACTGCTCTTAACAATCCTAGAAAAGTTAAGTAGAAGTGAAGAAGTATGAACTTCATAGGGCTTCATATACCTAGGGATTTCATAGGGCTTTCAATACCTAAAGGGGGCTTACAGAAGGGAGGGAAATCAACTCTTTGAAAGGGTTGATATGTATAGGATGAGGGGAAATTGTTTTAAGTTGAGGGAGGGGAGATTTAGGTTGGACATCAGGGGGAAATTCTTTACCCAGAGAGTGGTGAGGTGCTGGAACAGGCTGCCCAGAGAGGTTGTGGATGCCCCGTCCTTGGAGGTGTTCAAGGCCAGGTTGCATGGGGCCCTGGGCAGCCTGGTCTGGTATTAAATGTGGAGGTTGGTAGCCCTGCTTGTGGCAGGGGGTTGGAGATTCATGATCCTTGAGGTCCCTTCCAACCCTGGCCATTCTGTGATTCATGAGGCCTCCATAATGAGTGATGTTTAGGGAACGTGGTGCTTGTAGTGAAGCCTGCGCATGGAGTCTTGATTTGCACACCTTAGTGCAGGGCAAACAGTGACTGAGAACAGTTGGAAACCTGGGAAGCTGCAGTGACCCAAAGCCCACTTAGCAGCCCCTGTAGAGATCTCAGTTTGAGAATTACCTGAAGGGTTCCCAAATACAACACATGGTTCCTGCATAGGTTTGCTTTTTTTTTTTTCTTGCTTTTTTTTTTTTTTTTTCCATCTGGAGAGGTGTCCAATGCAAGCCCAGCATCCTGTGGGAGAGAAGTGACAGAGCATTTCTTGGGACTAGGTTGGGATGCTGTTAAACATTAGGTAGCACAGGTCGCACAGGTGTGTGTATTCTGCACCAGAGACATGCTCAGAAATGAAGCTCTTTGCATTGATCATTATGAGCTTCTGCAGGATTGCCAGCAAGAAGGCTGGTAGACTTTAGTCTGAAGATGTTCATTTTTAACTTGCAGCAAAGTTTACATTTTTTTATGCCAGAAAATAAACTGTCAGATGCAAAAGCCTGTACCAGGTGATAAAGCAGCTAGAAATGGCAAATATATTCTGTCTTATCTTATTCCAAGCTTCGTTTTGTCAGGATTCTCTCTCCTTACTAAGATCAAGAGGAAAGAGGATCAAGAATAAATGAGGCTTTGTGCATCCTGAGTGCTCATGGACAACACACAGAAGCATTTGTTTCATAGGCAGCCTTCAGTGGGGAAAAGTCAGTTTCTCTGCAGGTGAGTAGTTATTTTTGAAGACTCAATAGGAGATGGGAATGTTGCTGACTGTGGAAGGAATGGGAGACAAAGCATCCAGTGGAGATGGGGTTGTATGTTCTAAGTTTTTGGTGACATGCAGGTGAGCAGCTCTGAACTAAAACACCTTGTGCTGTGTGCAGAGATGTCTCCTTATGACCAGAACTGCTTCTCCAGATAATCTGTGACCTCGTTTCCTTCTTTGTGCTGGCTTTTTCCTCTGGGCATCAGAGAACGAGAGGGGAGAGCCACTACTGTTACATCTAGCTTGACTTCTCCAGACCCAATGACCAACTAAAGTTTAAAATAAAAAAAAAAGAAAAAAAAGAAAAGGAAGAGGAATTGTGCATTGGTGCTTGCTGCTGTGGTCCAGCAGAATCCTCAGACAGGCAGACTTTTCAGAATTAAGACCAAGTGGTATGCCAGGTTTCCTGAACATAAATTATCCCAGAAATACGCTGGGTGTAAAGTATACATGACAGTGTGGTGATAGGTTGGTACTCAGTTACAGTTTTACCATATCCAAAGTGGTGGATGGTAATGATCAGTGGCATTTACTACTGTGCCTAAACAAATAATATCTTAAGGGTCCAATACATGGCCCTGGGAATCTGTATGATATTAAAGCTGCCTTTCCCCATTTTGATACCTTCATTCTGAAGCAAAATCTGCTTTCTCAAAGGAAAAATTGTTCCCTCTTGTATCTGAAACACACTGAACCCAACTTCAGGTTTATCTAAAGCCTGCCATTTCTGTGCAATGTAAAGAGCTACCTTAAATTCATCTGTTGAAACTTCAAATCTCAATCATTACAATTCTTGAAGGGAAAAAATACCAGAAGCAAGGTGTACAGAGTACCTGAAACTTGGGAGATAAGAGCAAATATTCACAGCTCCTTAAGGGGAAGGAAATATAATTCCTTACAGTTTGAGAAGAAAGATGGTTTTAAGATAATTTTCATATTAACGTGCCCATTTACTAGTATATACTTAGAAATATTTATGTATCTCTGAAAGAGGAGGCTTCATGCCTACCTTATGTTTAAAGTAGTCTCTTTTTATACTTCAGTGTAATAACAGATTCGCCGGGTAGTTTATGTAGCAGCAAGTCATTCAGTCACAAATAAGCAACTGATTTAGAAAGTGTCACTACTGAATGATAGTATTCCCTCATACACTCTCAGTTCCTGTTAGCTCCAGTGTTTCCCAGCTAGAATACTAGTTACCTAAAATAAAAAGCCAAACTTTCAGTAGTGCAGAAATTTGATACTTAAATTGGTAAATAGAGCAGGCTGTGTTCTAGGTGAAACGTTCTCGTGGTCTGAATTCACTTATTCAGATGAAATTATCAGCTTCTAAGAAACATGGTTCTAACTCCTTCAACTAGTCATACATTTAACCATAGAACACCTTTAGCTATCTCTTCCCATGTGCTGAATTCGTAACTTGTCCTGCTTTCATACAGTTCCTCTTACCTGCTAAGTATGTGTTCTCTTTCCCCAGAGGAGCGCTGTAGGGAACACCACCGTGCAGGTGGTGAGATGCAGCGTAACCAGGAGCTAAGTTGGTAATCATCTGGGAGAAGTCGCAAGTAACTGTTCTCTGTGGCTCAGAAGAGAGACTTAGCAAGGTATGTGTGCTGACAGGTCTGTGGAGGGATCGTGGTCTCCTTCAGACGCACCATTGCTGCCGGAACTAAAAGTGGTGTATAGCTGTAACGCCGTAGTACCACTGGTCTATTTGATATTCCAGCAGTTTGGGGAACAAATGGTTTGGCATACCTTCAGGAACTTTGGCAGCTGCTGTCTGATGAGGGCAACATTGATCAGCTATCAGCTGTAGAGAAGCCTGGCTTTGCAGAACCTGCTGTTGAGCCTGACTTCTTAAATTTTCTCATAAAAACTTCTATGCTTTACCATGGGGCTTTGTGCTCAATTTATACATAACTATTAATATTGACAAATTACCCACATGCATCAAGAAGTTTCTTCAAAAAGCTTCAAAACTCATCCTTGTGTACGAGGAGAAGTAAGTCTCTCTTCAGGCTTACACAGGATCATCTTGTGCATCAGTCTGTTAGCATAAGAGAATTTTTATGCTTCTGTCATAGCCCCATATTCTTGCCAGGAAAAATTAACATGTATGTCCCGTTATTATTTTTATCTCTAGCCATTCTAAAAATGCCATTTTTTTTGCTGTACATGAAAGAAACATGTCCAATATACTGCATACATCCTCAGTCAACGAATGGTGATCAAAGCAGCCTGGGTTATGCAGCTAGCACTAACCATTTCCGTGAAGTGTTTGATGAAAGACTTAGCTGAAGCGCAAATTATTTTTTTGGAGGCTGATAATTAATGTTGTTTAGCTCTTACCCTGCACCGTTCCTAAATGCTTCATGTTCTCAGAGAAACCGGTTGCTCGAACTAAAAATATCCCTCCGGAATGCTGACCTAACAAAAACACTTCAGGCATCTGCTGTTGTACCTACAAAAGCTAAAGCAGTGCACGTCAGGGTACCAGCTTCCTTCTCACTACTTAAAAGAAAAAAAGCCCTCTGTGTCAGGGTTTACGTGATCAACAGCAGGAGGCGTAACAGATTTTATCAGTAGAAAGCCTTCCCTGATACAAGGTGACAATCTTTAGCTGCACTGAGGCTTTTTTCCACTTTAACAAGTCCTGTGTGTTGACTAAAACTCAGTTATGTGAAGACTTAAAGTTGGAATTTTTTCACTGTTTGAATGGGGAGAGGAAAATAAAAACAAATAAACAAAAAAAACCCCTGAAGTTGTGTACAAATAAAACAATAATTCATAATCTAAAATAGAAAAGATACATTCAAGTGCATTGAGGGGGACAAGAACTAAAGCACCATTTTTAACCAAGGCACCTGGGCAACTAATAAAAATTGTGGAAGTTCTGTTGCCTGCTGCTGCCTCTCTCTACTCCAGCACTACAAAGCAAGAGATAATAGATCTGGAAATGACAAAGGGAGCAACAAAGGTGTCTGAAAGTACCAAGGTGCTCTCTTGAAGAAAAATTAATGATGTAAGATAAAAATGCCAAAAAATCAGTTCATTTTCTAAAGGGTGGCTTGCTGAGGAGGTTAATTTTGTACAATTATAAGCAGCAATTGTGCTGCGTAAGAAATTATATTTTTTACTAACAATAATTTCACAATACTAAATGAAAGTTGTTGAGCCATTCATAATGCACTGTCATCCTCACAAGCAGAATTAAGTGGTGGGATGCCTTTCTGTGTGACTTTCGTGGGTGTTTATGCTCATGGTTCAAAAACCAACTTGAAACTCAGGAAAAAAATTCCTTTTCAGGATATGCCCAAGATTCAAATCGGAGTCAAAGAATGTTCTGGGAAAGTATTCTATTCTTTCTATGCTTTTATAACTCTTTCCTAGGTATCCCCTGTTGACCATCATCACAAGCAGGATGCTCACTTGGGTGAACATTTGCTGATCCAGCACAGCTGTTTTATGTGTCTGTTGAGTATCTGTTGTGAAAAACTTGCACTGCACTTTGAATCCTACAGGTCTCATCTTATTTACGAGAGGCACAGGTGCTGCCTCACTTAGCAGTGTTTACCAGAAGTGCACGTCATGTTATGAATGCTTTCTTGACACTTTTTAATTCAGCAGAATTGAGAGAATGTGGCTCAGGTTCCTCCTCAAATGTGAGAATTTCACTCATTAACCACCAAGCTGTCAGTGGAAACAAACTCAGGATGTGACATACTTTGTGGAAATAGTTATCTTTCCAGGGCAGGATTTTCTTTAAACCCCATTGTAAACAGATAATTTCATTCAGATTGAACTCTTAAGCATGTGTTATAGCATTCTTTTAACTATTTCCATTAGTACAGCTCTTCTTTTGCAATTTTTTTTTGCAAATTCTCAAATCCAGCCACTATGAAAAATGAAAAAAATCCTCAATATGAAGTTAAATTCCATACCTAAACAGCTTATCTCTTGCTCTTATACTACACAAACTGGAGATTATACCTTTGCCAAACATTTACCACAAGCCTAATGTTAATTTCTTCAAGCATTTATGTAGTGTCTCCTCTACAGGTCTAATGCCTCTCTTTACAGATATTCTCTGTTGGGGTTTTTTTGGGGGGGACGGTTTTGTGGGGTTTTTTTTGGCCTATATTTCTTTCTTTATTTCTTGTGGTCTGTAAATTATTGCCTTCTGCAGCCACTTTGCAGATTTCCACTCTACATCCTTGTTTTAATGTCCCATAAACTACTATTTGTCAGAGGACAAACCAATAATCTAATATACCCTGTTCTTCTCTCTGTTATTTAAAAGACAAACTGTGCAGATCAGTGATGTTTTGGGACATTTCACCTATCTTAGCAAATTTTTCCTTTCTTTCTGACATTTTGTTCTCCCAAAGCAGCTCTCCTTCCCTGTTCTTCTGAAGACAATTCATGTGGGATTTTGCCCAGTAATCTAAGGGCTCTGTTGCTGTGTCCAGAGGTTACCTTCTGCCCTGGGTTATCCCTATCCAATTTAATCTTGTAATATTGTGGATCAACTCATGGTTGGAGATTGTACTCGTCCAGGAAGCAAAGGTAGGAGCCCAGTCTCATGGTGGGCAGCACACGATCACACAAACAATGAGTGCAGGTCTGTATAGACAGTGCAGGGAGCTGACCCTCAAAAGGCTGTAAATCTGATTATTAGCAGACTGTTAACTCAGTAACAGACAAATGCACATGACTGCATTTATAACAGTAGAACCAGTTTTGTTTACCTGAATGCTAATAATTACCCGAATTCATGAGCTGAAACAGTAATTTGGTGGACATTCTTAAAGTTTTAATCTGAAAAGTTGAATTCCCTATTCATGCTTAATTTTTTGGGGATCTGAGTCTGTTCACATTTCTTTCCTATTTGCTGAATATTCTTTTGAAATTTATTTCAAGAAAGCTTTCTGCTGAAAAGTTGAAGTTAAAAATTGAAGTGAATCCTTCAATTTCAGCTTCTGGAAAGGATCCACAGAAATTATCAGGGACTTGTGGGAAATATGCATAAGGGAAAACTAATTCCTGACAGGTTAGATATGAAGGATTGTATGATACAAGTTAGCCTCCACAGCCTTATCCTTGAGAAAAACAAGTTGATTTGAGAAGGAGACATTATAGACTGAAGACAAAAACAAAAAGAAAACCTGAAAGGCAAAAACAGACTGTATGCAGAGTAAATTAAATGCAGTCTGCCTATGTGAATCTGTACTTACAGCTTGCTGCCTAAGGAAACATATAAGATTAAACTAAAACACAAAAACAACAAAAAACAATCTCATTTTGTTAAATAGGGTTTCTGTTTTTCTGGAAAGCAAAACTCCTCAGTGTTTTTCAGCGTAGCAGAAGTCAGGCATGGGTTGTAGAGGGTGGCCGGAGCTGCACTGTGGTGGAGCAGAATGGGGTAAAGCAGGTTGTGGCACTACGTGGCCAACAGAACAAAACTGAATTGAGGAAAATCTTGAGTCTTCTCAGATGGCGAGGTGCAATTACTGCCAAATAGAAATGTGGCAGTTTTATGTGAAATAAACATATGGTTGAACTTTGAATCTGTAATTTAAAAGAAACTTTTACATAAAGTACAGAACTCAGATAGAAGCAGAATCCGACTTCTTTTCCTGGCTGCTGCTGGTTTGCTTTGAGAGTCACTTCCTATGTCCCAGATACATTATGCTAGTCATCACATCTCTATGAAATACTTTAAATGTTACACATTTTAAAGAGTTATTCCTTATTAAAAGCATTAAAAAAAAAAAAAGACAAACAATCCCAGGAAGTTAAACTGAGAGGGTCAGGTTAGAAGGCGGTAAATATGCATATTCTGAGGAAGATTAATTTCCTCTGGACAGGCTGTACAGAGCCTTGCTGTGAATGTGCACCTTATTTGTGTGGGTTTTTTTTTTTTTGTTTTTTTTTTTTTTTTTTTTTTTTTTTAATGCCTAATAGAAAACATGTGGACTGGCATGAAATAATACTGTGCAGGCACTCTTAAAGAAATCCAATCCTGCCTGGGGCTTGTGCCAGGCTCTCTGAGAAAGGTCAGCGTGCTGAAGTCAGACTGCAGCATTTCACCTGATGCGGAGGTCAAGGGAAGTATTGCATAAAATGACAACCATCTGAGGGATGTATCTGAAAGCTATTTTCAGCTTTCGTTTTCTAGATATTGACTCATGTTCCCAGTGACAGCTTTTCTTGCATGGAGAGTTACAGGCTTTCCCTGTGGATTTGTGAACATGGCTTGTCTTCTCAACAGCACTTTTCCACGTGTCCTTTGCCTAAATATGCCTGTATGGGTTGTACACCATATAAAAGGCAACACCAGCTTCTCAAGATAACTCAGAAATAAGCAGGTGTTTCTGGCTGAAGAGGCTTTCTCATATTTGTAGCCCAGAAGCCCTTCCTGCTGTGATTTCCCAGGAGCAGCTGCTGAGGCGCCTGTATGTGTGCAATGACCAATCTTCCCTCAGCTGCAGTCATAACTTGAAGCTTCCAGAGCTGGGATAACCACAGTGCTGACAAGAACATTCAGGCAGCGTGGGAACTCGTGACTTGCTCCGCACCAGAGGGCTGTTATTAACGTGAAGATGGCTTGAAGCCTTCCTCAGCAGCAATAAACTACATTCCAAACAAGGCGTTCCGTCTCGACTCCACACGCTCAGTGACTTCTGGGGGGAACTGAGCGACGCGCGCACACCTGGGCGGGGCGGGAAGTGCAGGATCCGCCTCCCCCGCCGTCAACAAGATGGCGGCCGTGGCGCCGCCCAGGGTCCTGTCACGTGCCGCCGCCGGCGGAAGCGGCGCGGCCTCCCCCGCTGGCTGGGAGCCGGCTCGGCGGCGCCATGGGCTGGCTGCGGGCGGCCGGCGAGAGGCTGCGGCAGCGGGTGCGGGGCGCGGAGGCTCTGCGGGAGACCTGCCGGCAGTACCCGCTCTTCTGCTGCCTGCTGCTGGGGCTGGCCGCCGCCACCCTGCTTCTTAACCGGTAATCCGGCCGGGGGGAGGGGCGCGGTGCTGTGAGCCGTGCGGTGGCGGTTCTTCCTGACCGCGCTGTAGCCCGCCCTGTGCCGAGGAACGCCGATGTGTGTACACATGTGAAGGGAAACGTCGTCTTTCCTTGTTTTTTGTAAGGTACCTTCACGTTCTGATGATCTTCTGGTCGTTTGTGGCTGGTGTCGTCACCTTCTACTGCTCGCTGGGACCGGACTCCCTCCTGCCCAACATTCTGTACACTATCAAATACAAGCCCAAGGTAAGTACGCGTTCCTCTGCGCTTTTGAGGCAATGTGCGTGGATGGCAGTTCGTGTGCAGTCCTACTTTCAAAGTATTAGACATCAATACCACTTATATCTACATGCTGACGGGTCTTGTGGCACAAGTGTGGATTTCTCGTGCATAATCCCGTCAAATCTACAGATAGGTCCCTAAAGGTTGTTGCTGGAAGCGTTGCTGGATGTGGCTTTTTAACCATTTCACTAATTTTTCATTTGGCATTTCAGTAGTAAGTAGCTTAGAAAGTACTTAGTAGCATATTACTTTATGAATGCTTTTTTTTTTAAAGATCCCTTTCCTTTTGGTAGCCAAACTACAGTTTTATTGGTTGTAGTCAAACTTCTTTTAGTGGTGCTAAACTCCATGGGAAAAAAAAAAAAAGGTTTCTATAGGAGAGAAGGGGACAGACTCTTTATCAAGGTCCGTGATAGTGGAACAAGGGAAATGGCTTTAAGCTCAAAGAGGGTAGATTTAGGTTCGACATAAGGAAAAAGTCTTTCACGGTGATGGTGGTGAGGCAGTGGAACAGGTTGCCCAGAGATGTGGTGGGTGCCCCATCCCTGGGGACTTTCAAAGTGTGGTTGGATCAAGTCCCAGGCAACCTGATCTAAGTGTGGGTGTCCCTGTTCATTTGCTGGGGAGTTGGGCTACACAGTCTTTAAGGGTCTCTTACAACTCTAAGGATTCTATGATTCTATTTTATGAAATCCCTGTTTCTGTCTTCAGGACTCCAAGCAAGGCAAGACTTGTAGAGAAACCATTTGTTCTAGTTATAGTCCATCTGACGTATGGGGAGATGACTGGAGATGTGAGGGGTTATCTGTTGTCTTAAACTTTGTTTAGCCAAAGTGCTTTTTCTGTTTGGTTCAGTGGTTTCTCATATTGTACCTTGCTGCCTTGTTTTCCTGCTGGGAAACAGCTTTGTCTTTCTACCACTCAACTCTCTGTAACTGCATACTCTAAAGAGAAATTTATTAATGTATCAGTATATTATGAGAATCGTCATTTCAAAGAATGCAAACTTGTCCAAATATTTTCTTTTAGCAATTGGAATTGCCGGAGCTATTTCCCCATGGTCACAGTTGTGCTGTGTGTGGCAAAGTCAAATGCAAGAGGCACAGGTAAACTAAATGTGTGGCACTGGCAGTCCTGTTATTTCTTACATTTTGTATATGTCAGTGGGAAAACTGCAGTATTGTTGCATCAACTTTTCCATGGTTTCCTACAGACCTGCTTTACTTTTGGAAAACTATCAGCCGTGGCTGGATCTGAAAGTGCCTTCCAAGGTTGATGCGTCCCTGTCAGAGGTAATGGCTGTTTCATTTCTTTAATTCCTTGCAGTTCAGTGGCTTCTTTAACTATGTGTTTCTTAGGCCTATTACTTCTGGCTTGATGAATCAGATGTACTTAGCATGCGTGTTAACTTTTCGTTTAACAATCAAATCAGGAAAATAAAGGCTGGGTGCAGAGAGGCAAGATGGCTTATTTGATAACAGAAACGTGACTGTTCCTGAACAGCACACTTAGAACTTAAGAAACGTCTGTGTATATTGGGAAGTATAGGAGGAAGATCAAGTATAAATAAGTGACTGAAAAACGTCTGATTTCAGTGGATTTCAGCCTGTTGGTTGTTTGAAATATTGGCAGATTAAGAGATTATTTGCTCCAGTTACAAAAATTCTGTGATGATGTTAAATGTGATTGTAGGTGTTTAAAATCGTCAGACAAGCCGTAATGCAACTGATCAAAAAAAGAAGATGCAGGATTTACTCAGAAAGAGTAGCATAATTGCTTTCTTTTTAT